GCTGGTCCAGCCTGGGCATGGACACCCGGCACGGCTCCCTGGGGCGCCGGTGAAATAATTCTGAGTTGTTACTCGGGAATTTTTAAAGTATTTTATTCCTGTAGCCCAGTGGGTGACCAGGGCTGGTACCTGGTGTGGGGTTTCTCCAGTCCGGATGATTCCAACTAATGCCTCTTTCTGTCATCCAGCAACTGACCGACCTTCCCCTCAGACCTTAAGGATCTGTAATTAAAGCACAGCTAATACATTTCCTTTTAAATACCGAAGTACTTAATAACAACTCTCCATACTAGATCATTTATTTAATGTATCGCGTGTCTACTTACCTTTTACATTGTGTTTCCTGGAATCCAACAGCCACATGCTGTGATAATGTAACCATTGGCCACTGATAGGGTATAATTAGCTAACATCAGTTTTAAGAAGAAGTTTTTAATGGCTTTTCATTAACTGAAAAATAATTCCAAATCCCGAAAAGGTGGTCTTGTTTCAGCTGGATCTTAGCACCACATCAGAACAAAGATTTCTTCTATAAAGTTTGAATAAAAAAGCCCAGTTCTGCTCTTTCTGAGAGAGGAAAGAGGCTGCAGTGCCATTTAAAATGGACATTATACACAGCCAGGGGCCCGACCTGAACTGAAATTGTTTTTAGGCAGCTTCACATCAGAGTAGTTTTCAACTGTAAGGAATTATGGAGACAGGACTAATTAACATATTGAATGATTATCTAAGTAGGGAGTTTCCATCCAGGAGAGGAGGGGTGTCACTCCCTGCTTCTTCTAATGCCAGAGCAGGTGTTGAATGACAGGAGTTGGGGTGGGCTCTAAACATGAGCCCTTGATTTCTCCTGCTGCCTAATTAAGTTGGGGAACTCTCTGCCACACAACATTATGGAAGCCAAATTTAAGGATTAAGAAAATTTGATGGAAGAGAGGTCACACAGGTTAACTTGATGCTGTCTGGTGTGGCTGCTGGTTGCTACTAAAATTGTCCCATCAGATCTGCAGGAAATGAAGGTATAAGAGCTGATTCTGTGAAGACACAACAGAACCAAAACACACAAGACATCAGAATAAGGACTGTTTGCATTTGTCCTATTTATGCATATCCACTGAAGCTTGTAATACTAGTTTAAGGCAGAGTTGTGTTCCAATGAGCTGTTAGAGGGAACATTAAATAACAAAATTCAGTTGGGTTTGGGGTGTTTTTGATTAATATTATGAATACTTCTTGCTGTAGTTAATTCCATCCAAGGCTGTACTTGCAGTGGGGCCGGTTTATCTGTGAAGTCAGTAACCATTGCAAGAGACTCACAGTTCCAGTGTATGAAGCTTTCTGTCTAACCAGAAGTGATTTTGCTATATTTGCAAAAAGGAGATGGATCCTTTTGAAAATTCCACTTTTCCCCCAGCCTAACAGACACTCAGATTGTAGCCTGGCAGCCTTGTCTTCTGGCTTTTCACCTCAATAAATAGTAATGTGGAAAAAACAGAGAAAATAAAAAATCAAGTTGGTCTCTCTAGCTTCAGTTGTGAGATTGGAAGATTATTTTATCCTGGTTGTGGTACAGAATGAAGATAGGAAAATCAGACAAGTTTACCTTTTTACTAGTTGTTCTGTTCAGCTATAGCCATGATAGTCATGACAATGATTTCTGGTTTTCCTTTTTTGTATGGAAGCAGCTACAGATTTTAAAGAAGGAGATGTAGGGCTACTGGGCTTTTTAGGTTATTTGCTTAAGGGGAAAAAAAAATCATAGAATCATAAAATGGTTTCATTTGGAAGGAACCTTAAAGATCATTGAGTTCCAGCTCCCCTGCATGGGCAGGGACCCCTCCCACCAGACCAGGTTGCTCCAAGCCCCATCCAACCTGCCCTTGAACACCTCCAGGGATGGGGCAGCCACAGCTTCTCTGGGCAACTTGGGCCAGGGTCTCACCTCCCTCACATCAAAGGATTTCCTCCTTGTGTCCAACCTAAATCTCCCTCTTTCAGCTTAAAACCATTCCCCCTTGTCCTCTCACTACAAGTCCAAAGACCTTCCCCAGCTTTCCTGTAGCCCCTTCAGGCACTGGAAGCTGCTCTAAGGGCTCCCTGGAGCCTTCTCTTCTCCAGGATGAACACCCCCAACTCCCTCAGCCTGTCCTCATAAGAGAGCTGCTCCAGCCCTCAGGTCATTTTTGTGGCCTCCTCTGAACATGTTCCAACAGGTCCACATCCTTCTTGTGTTGGGAGCTCCAGAGCTGGACTGAGTGCTCCAGGTGAGGTCTCACCAGGGCAGAGTAGAGGAGCAGAATCACCTCTGTCCATGTGCTGGCCACACTTCTTGTCTTGTGGTACAGCCCAGGATGGGGCTGGCCTTCTGGGCTGCAATTGCACATTGGTGGCTCATGTCCAGCTTTTGATCCACTAGTGCCCCCAGGTCTGTTTCCACAGGGCTGCTCTCAAGTGTGTCCTTCCCCAGCCTGTATTGATATCTCTGGTTGCCCTTGGCCCAGGTGCAAGACCCTGCACTGGGCCTTGTTAAACCTCATGAGGTTCACCTGGGCCCACTTTTTCAGCTTGTCCAGATCCCTCTGGATGGATTTCAAATTTTAGAAAGCTTTAATAATGATGAAACCAATAATACAATAATATATTATAAGAAGAGCCTGGCTCTACCTCCCACCAAGAAACTGAAGGCAGGAGAACAGTCTCTCCCTTTTCCTTTTATTTTAAGACTGAGCAAATCCCTCCCTTCCTGTCTCTCCTCATCTTCCTTCTGCCCTCCATTCTCCATCCACTCCAACTTTTTTCATCATCCTGGTGGCCCTTGACTGAAATCGCCTCTGTATGTCAATATAATGTACGGGGGGGCTCAACACTACTGGTTTCTTTACGTGTCCTGGTAATGCCTCTCCGAACTCAACCATTATATAGAGAAAATAACTGGCATGGCTGCTAAAAATGAATATGACACTTTTATAGTGATTCCTGAGGAGCAGAGTTGACATAAACTATAGAAAATATCAAATAATTCCTAAATTCAAATACAGGATTTTCTGTGTCTTGCTTTTGGACACTGTGTTTCCACCTGAAATGTGTAAATTGTTGGCCTTGTGCCTGCCCTGAGGGGCTAGGACAAAACAATCAACCATTTCAGGCCAAAGTGATTTTTTACCTATTTTTTAAGTGTAATTCCAGACCCAGGGTTATGGCCATATTTATGATTCTGCTCCCTTCCTGTTGTTGAAATAGAATTGTGTAGTTTTTCTGAACAGGGCATAAAAACAAAACAAACAAAAAAAAGCCTCACCTCAAGCTTGAGAAAACCAGAGAGCTTCCAGCAAATCAAGAAGCTGTATTCCTGTGGAATGACAGAATGTTGGAGATTGGAAGGGCCCTCTGAAGAACATCAAGTCCAACCCTCCTGCCAGAGAAGGACCAAGTCTAGGGCAGGTCACTCAGACGTCATCCAGATTGGTCTTCAAAGTCTCCAGAGGAGACTCCACAACCTCTCTGGGCAGCCTGTCCCAGGGCTCTGTCACCCTCACAGGAAGGAAGCTCTTCCTTATGTTAAGGTGGAACTTCCTGTGCTTGAATTTGAATCCATTGCCCCTCATCCTATCACAGGGCACAAGTGACAAGAGATTGCCTTCTTGATGCCCTTATGTATTTATAGACATTAATTAGATCCTTTCTCAGGCTTCTTTCCAGACTAAACAACAGGTCTCTCAGCCTTTCCTTGTGAGGCAGGTGTTCCAGTCCTTTCATCATCCTTGTAGTCTCTGTTGGACTCTCTCAAGTAGATCCCTGTCCCTCTTGAACTGGGGAGCCCAGAACTGAACACACCTCCAGAGAGGTCTCACCAGGTGCTGGTAATCATAGAATTGTAGAATACCAGGTTGGAAGAGACCTTAAGGATCATCTGGTCCAACCTTTCTAGGTAATAATATAGTTGAAATGAGATGGCTCAGCACCTTGACAAGCTGAGACTGGAAACCGTCCATGTAGGGGAATCCACCACTTCCTTTGGGAGATTATTCCAAAGTCTAACTGTTGGAATCAGAGAATCATCTGAGTTGGACGAGACCTCCAGACATCATGTAGTCCAACCCCCCCTGCCAAAGCACTATCATCTGGAGCACAACCCACAGGTCTTGAATGTCTCCAGAGGAGACTTCACAACACCCCTGGGCAGCCTGTCCCAGAGCTCTGTCACCCTCACCATAGAGAAGTTTTTCTTCATGTTCAGCTAGAACTTCCTGTGTTCCAGTTTAAGCCCCTTTTCCTGTTGCTGGATGCGGGAAACGGTTCTTCTTCTTCCCCACATAAGTCTAAACAAAATGGAAAAGATCCTGACTCTGTTCTCACAGTGAAAAATTTTCTTCTGAGTCCAACTGGAATCTCCCCTGGAGTAACTTGCACCTATTACTAGAAAACAGGAGCTTGATTTCGCCAGAGAAGGCATTCAACCATTTGAGATTTGTAGCATGTGAAACACAGTCCAAGTGTTCCTTGGGAGTGTAAAATGCTCCCCACATGGGAAAATATAAATTAAAGGAAGTAATTTTAAGCTTTGATACCAGGATCATTGAATTAAGAGCAACACAGTAGTACCATATAGAACTCCATCCAGATGTGCTTGCCCACCGCTGAGGTCCAAGCTCCTTCCTGACTGCTTTGTCTTCTCCACAGATGTCTCTCCAGTTGTGGCAGGCCTCATCGGTGCTACCGTCCTGGTGGTTTCTGTCTCAGTAACAGTTTTTGTGTGGACATGCTGTCACCAGCAAGCAGAAAAGAAGCACAAAACCCCACCATATAAATTCATCCACATGTTGAAAGGCATCAGCATCTACCCGGAGACCTTGAGTAACAAGAAGAAAATCAACCGAATCCGGAGAGACAAGAATGGTTCTCCTAAGGAGCCTGGAAGGGGAAACCTCTCGGTGGATGCTGCTGAATCTGGTTTAATAGGCTCTGATAAGGCTCCAGATGGGCCAAATGCGGCTCCCCACATTGACCAGCTCCCAATCAAAGTAAATTATGGAGATGAACTAAGTCCAGATCAAAGCCTCACTCCAGGAGGAAGTAAAACCTCTTCCCCCTCTTCTCCAGGGGATGACGTCATGTTGGGTGAACTGACTTTCTCAGTGGACTACAACTTCCCTAAAAAAGCACTGGTAGTTACCATTCAGGAGGCTCACGGGCTGCCAGTGATGGATGAGCACACTCAGAGCTCTGACCCTTATATCAAGATGACAATTCTTCCAGATAAAAGGCATCGAGTGAAGACTCGTGTACTTCGCAAGACACTAGACCCAGTCTTTGATGAAACCTTCACCTTCTACGGGATCCCGTACAGCCAGCTCCAGGATTTGGTGCTTCACTTCCTTGTGTTGAGCTTCGATCGTTTTTCTCGAGATGATGTCATTGGAGAGGTCATGGTGCCCCTTGCAGGGGTGGATCCAAGCACTGGGAAGGTTCAGCTGACCAGGGAGATCCTCAAAAGGAACATACAGGTAAGTTGCTTTATGTAGTGTGACACAAGATTCCTCGCATTTTAGTTGATCCCAGTTCTTTTGATTTGGGAAGCCTTTGTGGTCTAATGAGCAGGATATTGGAAATCCTTGGCCAGGAAACCCATTTTTCCAAAGATACATATTATATGGTATTATTTCAATTTGGTGGTTCTCTGCTTTGTGCTTATGGTGGTTTGATAAGGCCTGGTCACTATTTAGGCATGTTACTATTAATAATGCCATGAAAAAAGACCGAGTCCCCATTTCCAGGGAAAAGAGCTGCTGGGATCATGGGACATTCACCTGCAAAGACAAACCTGACTCTGCTCTGCCCACTTCAGACACTGGCGCTTGTGCTGATCCATGTCTGAGCTTTGAGGGAGTGGGAACAATCAATGTAGCCAGCAGAGTCTGACATGGTTCCACCTGTCTTGGAGCGGAGTCTCAATCAGCTCAGATGAATCCCACCCTAGATGACGCTGTTACATTCTCACTCAAGAACAAAATGTGTGTAAGGTGGTTTTGTCAAGTGCAGACATTAAAATGTAGGTGAAATTAATCCCCCTCTCAGTGCGCAGTGCTGGAAGATAAGCAGTCCAGATAGGGTATTAAGACTTACTATGGGGCAGGTAGGTGTCTTCTGTCCTCAGAAAATCTGCTGTGCTCAGGTGGCAGGATGAGGTGGTACTGCAGATCTTTATTTTCTTGCCCAGTTTATTTTTGTACCCACCCTCCAGGTTCAATAGGAAAAGGTGTTTGAGCTCATTTATTGCCTTGACATTTGGAAGTCATCGCTGCACTCTATAAACTGCTTCATCACATCCCAGAGTGGCAGGACTTGACTTGAAACATTTATTTCTACTATATGGGGCATTTAACTTTTTTTTTTCCATTAAGTTATTTAAAGGAGAACCTATGTCAAGGACTCAAAACAAACCAGAACAATCCAAACAAAACCAGAGCTCTGGGAATTACTTTGCTTATCTGAAGGTGTTTGGATGCTTTACATTGTGGCTGGTGTAGGTTCATTCCGCGGTATTCATGTCTGACTGCATCTCTTAGAGGTAATAGATGAAAAATAGAGGGAAAAGCTCACACTAAATAAAAATAGATTTAATCAAGGATGCAATTTATTTAACATTTCTTAGTAATTAAAACTAGATGTACCCTGATGCCAGGTGTGCACTCTGCATCATTCCATATTGTCAAACAGCTGCTCCTGAGCAAAGTTTCCATGGTCAGTAAGTTTCAAAATCTGGAGTACAGATGAATTATTGCACTGATCCAGCCCAGAAAAGGTGTACATCCCATCCTCATGAGCATTCCCAACAATTTCTACCAGATGATCTAAGAATACAAATGACTTTGATGGAACTGCATTAAATTCCATCAGCCAAAAGAACCCCAAAATTCTGACAACAAACACACCCCATCCCAACAATCACACTGATGTAGCCAGGGGGCCAAGAACTTGTTCCGCTATTTATTCTGCTCCCCTAATTCTGCATAAGCCTTTGTTTCTTGTGTTTGGAAAACTTGTCTTCAGCACACAGGAACTGCTGAAACAAAAAGAAGCCACCAACATGGTACATCTTCCCTGTCGGAGTTGATGTGCATAACGTTTTCCCACCATGCTGAGTAAGAGCAGTTTAAAGACCAGCTTCACCTCTTGGGTGATCACCAGAGCATTTAGTCTGACATTTACTCTAGTGTTTCACTGGCTTGAAGTGAGAAAATTTCCTTCCTTGGGGACCTCCCAGCTCCCCTTTTCTCTGCTGGGTGAACAGGACCAGATGCTGATGGGACAGGAGGGACAGGGAGCTGCTCTGTGGCTCTGCCATCTCTGCCATTTTATACCCATTGCTAACAAGCTTGCCCTCATAGCAAATGAACTTCATCTAAATTAGTGCCATCTCAATTAAAGTTAATGAACACTATCTGGAAATCAAAACTAATTATCTTAATGTTACTCTTCTAAAAGATATACTGCAAGTCTAACTGAGTAGATATGGGTTTTTATCTTCTTTTATCTTCATCCTGCACCTTTGCAGACTAAACTGATGGTGAAGCTGTCACAGCCCACCTGGGGAACTTGAGGTGCTTGGCCATTTGACCTCCACCAGAAGTCAATGAAACTTATCTCCAAGACCCAGACACCTCCAGTAGCAGACCTCAAAAGGCTGCCCCAGCTGCTCTTCTCTCAGGAGGTGCCCACCAGGTTTGCCCTCATGGAAGCCCAGGATTTGAGTGGAGGGGCTGTCATGGTGCTGCAGCAGGTGTGGGGTGAAGCCTGCAGAATAATCTTGTGCTCCCTCTCCCAGAGGCTCCTGCTGCCTGAATGAGGCATTTTAAATGGCCTGTGTCTCATTTTCTGACTTCATAGGGATTTAACACAGGGAAAGGAAATTCTGGTGACCAACATTTGCTCATATGACCATTTAATAAGATTTTTCTGTTTCCTTTTCACAGAAATGCATCAGCAGAGGGGAGCTTCAGGTCTCCTTGTCGTACCAGCCCGTGGCACAGAGAATGACTGTTGTGGTGCTGAAAGCCAGACATTTGCCAAAGATGGATATCACTGGCCTCTCAGGTAGAAGCTATTTTCTCCAGCTCTAAATGCATAAGAAAAAAAATCTCCCAAGTTCACTTTCAGATCTTTTTACCTGTCTAACCTCAAGTTTTCCTTTGTTTGCTCACTTTCCTTCAAACTCTTTCTGAGGGGGGTGGATCACTACAAGTCATCCATCACTCACAAACAGTTCTGCAAACTAGACCAAGTCCTTCTTACTGCCAGACCAGCAGTTGCATCTTTCTGGCATCCCCTGGTTTGTTTCTGAAGACAGAATTTGCCAAATTCAGCAGCTCTCCCTGTTGCTTTGGCCAGGCTGTGCAGCTTGGGGCCTCACACGGGTGCCTCCCAGTGTTGCCCTGAGCAGCACTTTTTCCACAGCTGCTGTGTCTCCCTCAAACCCTGCCTCTGGGAGAAGAGGGTAAAAGAGAGCTAATGGAAGAAAGAGGAGGAATAAACTCAGAATAGAGAGGAGTGAATTAATATGACATTGGAAACACTTGTATGGTTTTGTTGTTGTTTTGGCTGGATTTGTTGTTTCACTCTTTGAAGACAAGAGCAGCTGTTCTAGCTTCCTAGTTCACAGTCACAGATTCTCAGACTCCATCCCCTTAGCAAAGTTTCCTTCAGGATTATGGGAAAACAGTTGGAATCAACTTGAGATTCAAGAATAGCCAGTCTGATAGCAAATTTAGTCCTGTTTTTGCAGCTTTCTCCTGTACAGCTCAGGAAGGATACAGACTAGGCTTAATTCTCTATTGTAGGCCTTAAATTTTACTCTTTCTAAAAAAAAAAAAAAAAAGCTCTCTATATGTGGGCTGCAATTACAGGATCCATTTTTCAGTAACTTTTTCTGCCTGCTGAATCTGGCAAGACGAACAAAGTTTCTTTATATAATTTTGTATTATGATCATCGTTTCAGTTCCATAAAAAAAAGTGAAAATGGGCATGTAAATTCCAGTTTCAAAACCTGTGTTACATGGAGAACAGCAGCCCTCTGTGCCTTGTATCTTCATTTTAATCCTAAACAACCATCCATATAAATTATTAAAACCCTTTTGACACTTTGTTGGGCTATTTCCTGAAGCAGCGTAAAAGTATTTATTGTTATAGGTGACAGGGAGAAGTGAAATTTTGAGACTACCCACTGAGGAAAGGCTGGGAGAGCTGGGGCTGTTCAGCTGGAGAGGAGACTGAGGGGGAGTCTCATCAGTGCCGATCAGTATCTACAGGGGGTGGCAGGAGGATGGGACCAGACCCTTCTCGGCAGTGCCCAGTGACAGGACCAGGGACAATGGGCACAAGCTGGAGCATGGGAGGGTCAAGTTAAACAGAAGGAGAAGCTTCTTTCCCGTGAGGGTGACAGAGCTCTGGGAGAGGCTGCCCAGGGAGGCTGTGGAGTCTCCTCCTCTGGAGACATTCCCAACCCATCTGGACGTGTTCCTGTGGGATCTACTGTAGATGATCCTGCTCTAGCAGGGGGTTGGAGTAGATGAGCTCCACATGTCCCTTCCAACCCCCACCACTGTTTTGGGTGGTTGGGCACTGAAATCACCAAGAAGCTTTCTGATTGGTATTTCTAGGAATAATTACAGCAATTTACATGCAATGAGCTTCCCCCCAGCTCCTGCGCAGTTTTGTAACTCATAAAGAACTCAGCCTGCCCAGGTCAGCTGGCTGCTTGTTTGAGGAAACAGGCCAGCAGTGCCTCAGCCTGGGGAGCTGGAAGGAGCAGTCTGGGGAGCTGGAAGGAACAGCTTGCAGTCACAGCAGTTACTGGAACTGGCTTCAGTTCAACAAGCTGAACCCCCTCAGTGACTTCCAGAGTCAATTCCTGGGCTGTGTTATTAGTCTCTTTCTCTTCTCCAGCAGATCCCTACGTGAAGGTGAATGTTTACTACGGCAGAAAGCGCATCGCCAAAAAGAAGACTCACGTGAAGAAGTGCACTTTGAACCCCGTCTTCAATGAATCCTTCATTTATGATATCCCAGTGGATCTTCTGCCTGACATCAGCATCGAGTTCCTGGTGATTGATTTCGACCGGACCACAAAGAACGAGGTGGTGGGGCGGCTGATCCTGGGCGCGCACAGCGTGACAGCTGCGGGGGTTGAGCACTGGAGGGAGGTGTGTGACAGCCCGAGGAAACCTGTTGCCAAATGGCACAGCCTGAGTGAATATTAGCAGGGGGTGCAGCAGCCACAGCCAACTCATAGACCAGACTTCAGCCTTGTTTTAGCTGTAGATCTAACCTTTCGTGAGAAGCAGCAGTTGATTGGTTCTCTAGTGATGTGATTTTTTGCAGGGCACTGAAATTCTAAAAAGCATTAAATGGAATAAAAAAAAAGATACCACGAATATATATAACAGTGTAATCACGCTATTGCATGCCTAATACAAACTGAAATTAGTATAACTACCAATATCAAGTTGCAGGTTTTAATACAATTATCTGTCACTATGGAAGTTGTGTTTGTGCCGAACTGTCTTTGCTGGTATTCACCAAGATGGGCCTGTCTTTCTTAGGCTTCTCCCAAAGTTTCTGAATTCTGCTGTTTAACCTCTAGTTTCTTGTTAGTTTGCCTGCCCATTGGTTCTTGCAGTTCTGTTCTTTACTGGTTTGGGAGTACCAACTGCATTGCCATTGAAAGGTGGTTTAGAATTCTGCACTAGCACAAAAGGAAAATACAGGGGAAAATGGCACTTTCCTTCAGAGAAGAGAGAATTCTGTTGTCAGGTACTGAAATACTTGCTGTTGTGATGGACTTGTTGAGCTGTAAGGCTTCAACATTGAAGATTTGCATCTAAAATTCAAACTCCAACAATTTGATCACGTTATTTTTGCCACGTGGCACTGAGCACAGGCAGGATCTCCCAGACTACCAGAACTGGGGAAACTGTTTCATTTTATTTAACTCTGTCTGTGCATTTAGGGCCCAAGAAAACAACCAAAACCTGACATGTCACTGTTTGGTAAAGAAACTCTTGCTGATTAGGCAGGGATAACCTTTTATCTCTTTATGCCCTGTGATAGGATATGGGGCAATGGATTCCAACTGGAGTCCAGGAAGTTCCACCTCAACATGAGGAAGAACTTCTTTCCTGTGAGGGTGATGGAGCCCTGGGACAGGCTGCCCAGAGAGGCTGTGGAGTCTCATTCTCTGGAGACTTTCAAGACCTGTCTGAATGCCTTTCTGAGTGATCTGCCCTGGACTGAGTCCTCCTCTGGCAGGGGGGTTGGACTTGATGATTTTTGGATGTCCCTTCCAACCCCCAACGTTCTCTGATTCTGTGATTCTTTAAAATATTAAATGTGAAATTCTACAGTGATTGGTAAGTTCTGTGATCATGGCGAACTGTAGATGAGGTAGGGAAGTACCTTGGTACCTTGGAAGAGGTTTTGAGTGAAAAAATTACAAAGCTTCATTCATACTTAAGATAATGTGCATTATATGTGATCTTGTAGTCACCTGAGAGCCAGCTCTCAAAAAAAGGAGTGATCACAGGGCATCGCTACAAAATGTGTTGGGCTCTTCCAGAAGTAAATTTTCAGTTTCAAGGCATCTTGAGTTAGTTCTTACACTGTGAATGACTCCTGAGAGGCTGCGCTTCCCATCCCCTCTGAAGTGTGAAACTGTTACTTGCCAAGTGCGATGTGTACAACTTGAGGCTGTTAGCCATAACTAGTCAGGAGTTTTGATCAGAAGTTCATGGAGTCACATCCCACAACTACAGGTTGGGAAGTAGCTCTCAAGGTAACACACCAGCCTGGGAAGAGGTTTTGTGCAGGCAGCAGCATCTTGGCAGGTAACTCCATTTGGCTTCTTGCTACATTCAAGCCAGGGAAAATATAGGGATGAGAACTGGCAGCAAATTGTGAATGTTGTTGGTCAACTGAGTGGTAATAGTGACAACAGGCTGTAGAAATTAAAATTCTCTCTGAATTCTCCAATGGAAACGTGAAACAGATGTGAGCTGACAAAGAGGCATGTAGAAGACCACAAATTTTCAGTAAAGATTTCGTTGGTTCTGGGCAGCCAGTCTGTTCTGTGCCCTGTGTAATGTAAATGATGTGTTTTAATTTTAAAAAGTTAAGATCATTTAACTACTTACAGGACTTTACTACTGAGTTGTAGAGCCCTGTTGGGATAATGATCCTTTTCACCTTTATACTAATGGCAGTAGAATAACTGAGCAAATCCTACTGGGTTTCCTCTCCAGCCTTGACCCATGTCAAGCAGCAGCTACTGGGAGGGCTCTTTGCACGAACCCTCAGCACTTCATTAGTTGGTGATATTTTGGCATCTCTTCCTAAGAAATTATTTTTGGAAAGCTGAATTTTCTCACTCACTGAAACTTTCTTCCAGGCATTGTCTTTTTAGCAACAGAAGTCATACTGAACCTGAAGCTCTACCTCTCAGCCTGGCATGGCAGACACAAGCATGGACTTGGTTCCTGCTTTATCAACCCTGATGAGGAGGATTTCTACCTGAGGTCAGAGTAGATTTTATCTTTATCTTTGGGTTTCTAGCTCATGCTCTATTTGTTGCTCAGAGCCACAAGCTGGAGAACAAGTCCTCCCTTGGAAATTGGTTTAGATCTATTTCACTCCAAGTTTTTGCACTAAGCAATTGTGTGTTGCTGAAGTTCAGCAACTGTCACGACTTTTCCTTGGAACATGCTTTCCAACACCACTCCAAACATCTGAACAGGAGGCACTAACAACAACAAAAGTTCCTTTTTTCCCTTTGGTGTAAAAAGCATGCTCCAGCACAGATGATCTCCTTCAGATTCCTTTGGTTGAAAAGGAAAGATTAACTTGTCAAGGAAACATGCTCAGGGTAAATAGACTTAGGCTGTCGGGCAGATGGGAGCAGCACCAACACTCTTGTGGAATAATAGGAAACTGAAGATGTGCAGATATATATTTTTTAAAATGTAAAATAGACAGTAAGTGACAGCAGACTCACCGTAGTGAGTAACTCCCAGGTGTGGTTATTCTTTACCTTGTGTCTTCTATTGTAAAAATTAACTTGGACAGTTACAACTTTGTGTGAAAAAAGAAAAAAAAAGAACAAAAAAAAGGCAAAAAAACCTTAACTCAACGTGTGAAACTGCATAATGCTATGAGCTAATCTACTGATGTAATGCTACCTTGTCTGTTGGATTTGTTAACGCACATTGAGCGTGCAAATAAAAATTAAGTCACTTTAGCTGCTGTCTGTGCCCTGTGTGACTGTGGACAGCATGAACCTGACTGAGAACTCATGGATCAAAAGCTGGACATGAGCCACCAATGTGCAATTGCAGCCCAGAAGGCCAGCCCCATCCTGGGCTGTACCACAAGACAAGAAGTGTGGCCAGCACATGGACAGAGGTGATTCTGCTCCTCTACTCTGCCCTGGTGAGACCTCACCTGGAGCACTCAGTCCAGCTCTGGAGCTCCCAACACAAGAAGGATGTGGACCTGTTGGAACATGTTCAGAGGAGGCCACAAAAATGACCTGAGGGCTGGAGCAGCTCTCTTATGAGGACAGGCTGAGGGAGTTGGGGGTGTTCATCCTGGAGAAGAGAAGGCTCCAGGGAGCCCTTAGAGCAGCTTCCAGTGCCTGAAGGGGCTACAGGAAAGCTGGGGAAGGTCTTTGGACAAGGGATTGTAGTGAGAGGACAAGGGGGAATGGTTTTAAGCTGAAAGAGGGAGATTTAGGTTGGACACAAGGAGGAAATCCTTTGATGTGAGGAAGTCTCTGAGCCAGGTTGCCCAGAGAAGCTGTGGCTGCCCCATCCCTGAAGGTGTTCAAGGGCAGGTTGGATGGGGCTTGGAGCAGCCTGGTCTGGTGGGAGGTGTCCCTGCCCATGCAGGGGATGGGACTGGATGAGCTTTAATGCCCTTTCCTACCCAAACCATCCTATGATTCTTTGAAACAATTGGGCTGCATCAGAAGCAGTTCCTGTCACCAGATTCACCAGTGACATTCTCAGCTATTTTAGGAACACTAAGGAAGAAGTGACTGAAGCTCTCAAGACTCCTACTCTAGTGATTCAGTTCCACAACATAACTCCACGACAGACGAGATGCTGAACACACAGAACCATCAGAAGCCCCTGAGATAACACAGGTAGAGATCCACATGATTGCTCTTGTGTTCCAAGTCAATGCCCAGTGCTCCAGGATGTGGTGGTTGATGCTCACCACTAAACAGTGGCCTCTGCACCACAAGTGACAGCAGAGTTTAACCACTTTCAGTTATTTCTCATGGTAATAACTGCAGTTATTAGAGCAGTTGGTTAAAACTGCTCAGCCAATGCTCAGTCACTGATTATTTTCTACTTACTGTGGAAGACAGGAAAAAAAAAAAAAATCTCTCTCCATCCTTCTTTGCTTAGTTTCTTCATCTAATACTGCAACACCTTTAACAAAGGTCCTGCTTCAGTTTCTTGCACCATCCACCAAACAGTCAAAAGAATTTGCATAAGAAAAAAACCCAACAACACAAAACAGAAACAAACAAAAAAAACCACAATGGATTTGACAAACCATTAAAAGAAAAAAGGTTTTGTGGAGAGCATGGAAGTTCAGCCCTGAATCTCTGTCCACCTGGGGTCCCGGTGCTGCAGTTGAGCTCTTGCCTCACCTAGCTCCCCGTGGGAGAAGCTCATGTTGCCAATCTCTTCCAAGGGCTCTTCTGGTATTTCCTTTCGGCAGGCTGTCAGGAACAGCTCTGTCCCTTTCCAAGCCCCCAAATACATGGGATTGCACTAAGAGGGGAGAAGCTACCATCAGGTGGGACCCTTCAGAGCACCCTTATCTCACCCACATTAAAAAGCACTGATTGGATCTCGAGCAGTCCATGATCCATCCACACGGTGTGTGGTTCGGGCCCAACATGAAAACAAAGAACCAGCCTCGTGGCCACTCATTCAACTCCCCCCCTCACACATGCTCTGGGATGGGGAGGACAAATGCAATGAGCAGCTCATGGGTCCAGACAAGGACAAGGAGGGTTCTTCACCAATTAAGGTCTCGGGCAAAACAGATTCAACTTGGGAAAAAATAGTAATTGAATACTGTTCAAACACACACAGGACACAGACAAGACAAAGAGCAGTGTCTGCATATGTTACCCCACCCCTCCCTTCTTCCTGGCCCAAATCACTCTGTTCCCCATTTCTCTCCCTTTTTCCCCCCAGTGGCATACGGGGATGGGGTTTAGAGTCAGTTCACAGGCTGGTGGTTCCTGCTGCTCCTTCCTCCTCAGGAAGAAGGATTCCTCACAGTCCTGCCCTGCTTCCCCACGGGTCCCTCCCATGGCAGATCCTCCACCAACCTCTCCTCCAT